GGACAATCTTTAAATGTACTGGTTTTTACGAAAGCCTCCAGTGTTCAGGTAAAGCAAAAGATTCATTTTTATATCTCCACACTGTGCGATTCTGACATATTTGTTTGCCTACACAGACTGTGGACAGCTACTGTAATGTTGGTCAGTCATGTGACTCGAGGTGTTTAATGTTTTGTTTACATAGAGTGGACCCACATTCCAGAATAAATTTTAAAAAATTAACTGGATTTTTTTTTTTTTTTCAAACTGCAGCATTTCATATAGTTGAAGAAAACCTGTTTAATGTTTGATTTCACATGTAAATGTAAATAACAATTAAAATATGATGCAATAATGAGTTTAAAATTGAATCAACCTGGATTTCAGGTGTAACTTGTTTTTTTTTTGTGCGCTGTTGTTTTTTAATGCAGCTTTTTATGCACCTCCCCCCACCCCACCCCTCCTCTCTCCGCGCCTCCCCCTCCTCCTTGCTTCCTCCTGAATGCCACCAGCTGCAACTTTTGTCCGCGCGCAGCTGCCGGTGCGCCCTCCTCTCGCACGAGCTGGATGCCACTTCAGCTCAAGTGAGGCGGCTGGATGATGTCATTTCCGTCATGAAGGGTCTCTAAAACGCAGCTCGGATTTTCTCAAACTTTCTTTTGTCATATACCTTCAATATATATTGTTTTCTTCCTTCTTGACGGGGTTTCTGCGCGAATAATGGCGCGCGTGACGGGAACGCGTGCTTGGATGAGCCCCCCACTTTCCCAGGAGGTCACGGTTTTCATCAGAGCCTAGTTGGACGCGGTGCGGGGAGCACACGGACAGAAACTTGCGTGATTCCTGTTTGTTTTGTCGCTCCTTCTCTTGTCTGGGAGGAGGTGAAGCTGCGAGGCGGAGGCAGGATGAGGTCGCTGTCCGTGGTGCTGAACCCGCTGCTCTTCCTGCTGCTGTTCGGATCCTGCCCGACTGTGGTGAGTCTCCACCACAATTCAGTTCAAACTTGAGTGATCTGACTTGAGTCAGTGATTTGAGGTGGATTTAATTGGGGTGGATCGTTCCTGTGCTTCATTTTGCCCATTAAGTCTTGGATGAGTCATTTCAGGTTCCTGCAATTACTGCACGACCAGCTGATTCTTTGCCATTGTCTCTGTCACCTGTATACAGATGTTCAGTTTCAGAAAGAGTTTCAGCTAAAGCAACTTTATCACAATTTTTTTTTTGTATTTAAAGTGTTATACGTTAGTGTTAGTTGATCTTCGTAGCAGAGCTATGCTTCACTTTTAGAGAAAAGTCTTGTGTTTTGTTGGGACTTGATGTGAAATGTGTCTACATCTAAACAGATACACTAAACAGTATGCTTTATTTACCTTTGCCTTTTTTATTTTTCTCAGCAAATTTATATTCCAGATATCTAAGATAAATCTGTTTAGGAGCAACATTGTAAATTGGAGGGAGCAGCTTGTTGATTACCAAGAACATCGGTCGATTAGGTTTGTCCCACCCATGCAGAGAATGCCTTGATTGCAAAGCAGTTTCCTCTACTCGCCATGACTGAAAGTGGCAACTAAATGTTTTTAAATTATTGCTCAGAAGAAGGGGAAAGGTTTGCCCCTTCAGATCTGAATGTATAAAACAAAAAAAAGGACCAGATGTTATAATTATTCAGTGAGTGGGGACAAACTCCTCATAAACAAAAGCAGAAGTGGGGAGTGCATCTGGCTTGGCTGAGAGACAGAATCATTCTAATATGAGGAAATGTGAGGGTGAGAAATGATGGGGGGAGGATGTGCATCACTCAAAAGACAGAAGGGCCATTTTAAAAGATTTTATTATTTTTCTAAATCTTTCAAAGCAAAATGCTGAGAAGATGAGCTGAGGATTTTCCTTCCATCCCCTACTACTTTTCATTCAAATGTCGGAATTATTATTCAAAATATAATCAGGTTTGGAAAATAAAAATCCCTAAAACCATATTTATGTACATTTATGATCTCCAAAAATAATTTTTAGTTGGAAAAACAATTAAACTTGGTATAATTTGAGCTTTTTCATTGAACAGATTTAGAGGCTGTTTAAACAGCCTTTCTGTGGGTGAAGAAGATGAGCCAGAGGTTGCGCAGTCTCCTGATGGTGAAGTTTTCTTCAGCTCAGAGGGGACATGATCCTTGGCAGTCACTGTCAAACGCTCTTTAAATGGGCCGGCAGGAGAGAAAGAATGGGAAGCACTGGGGAAGTGCTTTAATTTTTTGTTACTTATTTACTTTAAAATCTGATGGATGGTTCACATTTCATATCCTTTTGTACCTCCAGAATTTGCTTGATGATGTGGAGCAAAATCCAAGCAAAATTAAAAAAATGGCTGTCTGCCAAAAAAGGCCAATAGCAGAGGGAAATGTTCATCCACTGTTAAAGTTAATTTCCCGTACTGACAGTAAACAGTGGTATTCTGATCAATATGTTTGGAAGTAAACTAGTTTTCCACTTGGCTCACTCTGTCAATTGATGCTGTTACATTACAATCTTTCTGCACTGGCTCTTCATAAAAAAAATGTTTGTAATATAAGATTTGAACTTTTTCTCTGGAGCGCATGTTTGTTCAGGGGAAACAAACCATGAATCAGGTTTATCAGTTTCTCACCGCAGGTTTTTCTCTTATTCTTTGAAAGGGTTATTGAGGAGAAACAGGAACATGTCCACACTTGGCCTATTCATCAAGGCCAGAAAACAATGTTCATTGTTGAAAAGACTATTCACTGGAGACAAAACTCTGAGAACAGAGGAGCATCTATCAACAGATCGCTTTGTTGCTTTAAAACCAAGATGCTTTGTCAATCGGTGGAATTTGGTTGGTGCTGGAGCTAAAGGAAAACAAAGCAGGAGAATGCATGACCCCATGAGGAACACAAATATCAAAAGTTGATCAACTATGTGCAGCAGTTTCACAATAAATCAGTGTGCTGGTGCATTCACAAGCGTGTGGGTGTCTTTGTGTGCAGACCATCAGACCAAAGGAGGGCTGGCAGGTGTACAGCTCGGCTCAGGATGCAGATGGGCGCTGTATCTGCACAGTGGTGGCACCTGAACAGAATCTCTGCTCCAGAGATGCCAAAGGCAGACAGCTCCGCCAACTCCTGGAGAAGGCACGCGCATGCTCTCTCTTTCTCTCTCTCTCTCACACACACACACACACACACACACACACACACACACACACACACCTATGCAAAGCTGTCAGCACACCTAAATTCATATAAACACATCAGGTTTCAGTCGTGGCACTTTGTTACCGTAATCCCCAAAGAGATTGCACCATCCTGGGCCATAGCTTTACTTTCCACTTCTGCATAGATTACATGGATGATATCAGCTGAATGACAGCTTGAGAAGACGAGCGTGCTCATCATTGCACCTTAATAAGGCTGGAGTACCCTCCTTATTTATGTATGTATTTGTTTATTTATTTATTTTTGCAATTAATGCAACTATCAAATGTTAAAATGTTAAATTATGAGAAAAATCTTCAGTTGAATTGTTTATTTATACAGTACCATTTTACAACAAAAGTCATCCTAGAGTTCAACAATTGGAATAAATTACATTATAATGCAATCTATTTGAAATGTTATTCAATAAAATATTGTCAATCTACTTTAAGAAGCTCTCATATTGTGTCAATCAGTGTAATCCTCATCCTGAGCAGCTTATTGGTCACAATGGAAAGAAATTATTCCTTTTGAAGAGGAAGAATAGCATAGCTCGACTCAGGATGGGCAGCCATCTTCCTAAGCTAGCTGGGGTTTGAGAGTGCAGGAAAAAGACAAACACAGAATTATTGGGCCAGGCATAGAGTCTATGGGAAGACACGCAGGGGCAACAAAGCGAAAGGCAGCAATGACTGAATGAACAAACATGGAGAATAGAAAGAGTAAAAACAGAATAGTGAGGGGGGAAAAAGGTCAGTATGTCCTCCAGCAGCCTGAACCTAAAGCAGCATAACTAAAGGATTGCTCAGGAAACCAAAGCTAACCATAAAACAATTTGTCAAAAGTAAAGTCTGAAGCTAACTCCAAAAAGTAGACAGTGGACCTCACAGACAGAAACTGGAAGTTGGTTTGACTAAAGAGGAGCCTGATACCTGAAGCATCTGCCTCCAATTCTAAGTTTAGAAACTATATGAACCATGAGTAAACCATCAGGCTGAGCGAAGTGCTCTGTTAAGAAAATACGGAACAAGAATGTATGAAAAAAGGACGCTAACTGTCGATAGATCCATAAACCATTGTTTTAACATGACTGGTGATTGTAAGTATAGTTTAAGCAAATTATATGTTGCAAAGGGGTTTCTTTCCTCAGTGATCTCACTGTGTGAGAAATGTTACTGTAACCTACATTTGGCGGTTGTATGCCAATGCATGTTCTCTATCATTTAAGGGGGGCTTTTGACACTAATGTACTAAGCTGCCTCAGGGTATCAGTAAGGCCATTTCAGGATCGGTCTACCAGCGTCAGAAAAGAACACAGTGTATGAGTGTGTTGCTTTGCCTCTGATGTGCTCCAGCCATGCTGGTTTATTACAATTAGAGCCAAAGAGAGAAGAGAAAAGGAGCATCTCTTCTTGTTCTCATGCCCTACAAATCTCAGGAGCTTTTGTTAAAGCACAAAAAGCTACTGCCATGCATCTGAATTTATTAATTTCTCTGAAATTTATCAAAAGCAGTGACATTTAAAAAAAGCAAACAGTGTTTGTAAATTGTGACCTTAAAAGTAGAACCCAGACTCAAAAACTGAGTTAACAAGGTTAGAAATTTACCCCGGAACAATCTTGTATGCATGTAAAATACAGATGAAGCTTCTATATCCTGCTGGTTTGTTGAAAGACAATCATGTTGGAGGTCAAAATGTTGATTCGTTCCACTGGAAGTTAGGGCAAAGCAGGATACAAAACAGTTGAAGAAGGACGTTTTAATCTGCTGGTGGACGTAAAAATCAATCCTACACCGTCTCGTTGTTTTCAAAAGGTGCAGAACATGTCACAGTCGATCGAGGTGCTGAACCTGCGGACGCAGCGAGACTTTCAGTACATCATGAGGATGGAGAGCCAGATCAAAGGACTGCGGTCAAAGTTTCGGCAGATCGAGGCAGACAGGAAGACGCTCGTCAACAAAAACTTTCAGGTACGCCTTTTGTTTGATGTTGAACTCAAGGAGAAACATCAGAACAAGGGACCTCTGCCAAAGATCCATGAAAAGCATGTGATTAGACAAACGCATTCAGGGTAGGAATATTCCAAGTACTCCACTGCCAAAAAAAATAAAAAGACGTGCTCAAACAAAAAAACATTTGGACATTTTGAGGATTGTTTGACTTACACAAAGGCAAAGAGTTTTATATAGAGGTAACCAAGGAGAAAGCTTGTTTGGTATGGAAGCTCAACAAGGTCATTTCTATCTCTATAGCATCCTTGCTATATTTTTCACATTCATGCACTCACCACTGATTTTTTTTTTTTTTATCACTAGCCTTGTTACAACATATTAAATAGATTCAACTTCAAGAATCTTTATTATCCCTGAGGGGCAATTTGTTTCATAGTCAGTAGACACACAAAACATCATACAAGACATAAGACATTACAATAATACATGAAATCATCACTGTTTGTTGTGAACCTGATAGCTACATAGTTGAATGAGTTTTTCAGTCTGTTTAACCGACATCTGGACAGCAAATACCTGCGTCCAGATGGAAGCAACCTGAACTCACCATGGAGTGGATGATCAGGATCTGCCAGAATCAACCTGGCCTTGTTTACTGACCTCACCTTCAGATTAGATTAAGAAAAACTCCTGTTGTCATATGGAATAAATATTCCCTGAAATATATTCTTACGTAGCAATAGATGAAGAAAACAGTTGTTTTGTGTTATTTGTGATTATATGTAACGGTTTTTCCATAGTGTAAGTGTTGCACAAGAGGAAACAACTTGTTCATTAACAGTAAATGCTATGTTAACAAACTGTCTTTATTGATATTAGATACTTTTAGTTTTCTCTAACTTATCTGACAAGGTTGAAACAATCTTCTTTGAAGAATCTATCCACAGGACGTGGCTCAGCTTTGTTAGATGAATTTATCTGGATTATTGAGCAGCATCAGGACATTCTCTAACCTACGTTTTTACAAACAAATCGGTTACATGCAACAAAACATTTTACCAAATAACCAAAATGCTGAAACAGAGCTGTAGATTGATGACTAAATTGCAATATTATTATATTAGCTCTTTTAATTACCAGTAAAATTCACATTTTAGATCAGAAAAAATTGTTTTTTTTTTATCAATAATTCAGAGATTCAGAGATTCTTTATTGTCATTCGCACCACATGTGGTACATGTGGTGGAACGAAATTATGTACACAGGGTCCCAGTTACATCCAACAATAAAATGTAAAAGAAAAACAATAATAAGATCTAAGATGTGAACTAAGACTATGAACTAAAAAAAATCAGCTAAAAATATGCTAAGCACTAATAGCATAAAAACAATACATACAATACTCCAAACAGCAGCACGAACATGAGTCTGTGTGAACAGATGAGCACGAATGAACACAGCAACATGAAAATTTGTTAATTTGATTGATGATCCACTCTACAGTATGTGACAAATTGTCAAAACTGTCTGAAACGTCTTGGTTGCAAGCATTCAGAATTCAGCAACACTGCAAAAAAATATGTAATTGTCCACTTCTAAAAATGTTAACTTGTCACTTAAGTCCGCAGCAATTACAAATCAGTGAGATACTACTGTAAGAAAACACAACTGTACAAACTTTTTGTTGAGCCCAATAATTTTCCCTGAGGCAAAACATTATCTGGCAACATATTTGTTATAGTTCACATTATTCATCAATAACTGTGAGAGCGAGTGCATCCCTGCTTCCATTCATCCATCTATCAATCCATCCAATATTTCACCCACTTTTCCATGTGGGTCACAAGGAAATGGTGCCCATCTCCAACGTCATTGTTTAGGAGGTACTCTGGACAAGTTCAGTTCATTGAAAAGCATCATAGTAACAGATGAGACAGATATTTGCACTGCCACTTGCACCTAATGACAATTAAGAGTTACTTAATAACTTAAAATGCTGGTTTTGGGGCTGTGGGAGGAAACTACACACCATGAATCTGCATGGGTAGGATGTAAAGAAACAACGATCTGAGCTGGGTTGTGAAGTGTTGGAGCTACAGTCACCAATCACAACAGATCACACCAGTAGAAATCAGTGAAGCCACACTGCTCAGGCTTTTATGTGCTTCATGTCACTGCAGTTTTATCCAGTGAGAGGCATTGGTATAAGTCACTTTTGCTTCATTTGAGCAATAAACAAACAATCATAAACTTGCACGATTTGAATTTATTTACAATGTTTACTAAGCTGAGCTTCATCTAGAATAGGTGTCTGTGGAGGAAATGAGATCCCAATAATAGATTTTTAGACAGGCTGTGTGCAAATGAGGCTCAAGATAATAATGTGTTTCAACACTTGCTTTCAAAACACTTTAAGAGACATCTAATGCCATCATCAATAAAATGCTTCACGGATGAAGGAAAAACAAATAAGAGTTTTCTTTTGTGACTCACAAATATGTAACCATTGTCTCACAAGTGCAAGTTAGTTTTGACTAAAATGGCATCAATAATAGAAATCTTCTCACTTCATACTCTATTTTTTCTTGTTTTGTTTTGTTGATTTTTTTATGATTAAACTGTCAACTTTTTGTTCTGTAAATTATATGGTTGGTTTTTTTTTTTCATTCAACCTTTATTTATACAGGTTAATCCCATTGAGCCTCGGGGCTTAATTTACAAGAGAGACCTGATTTCAACAAAGAATGATGACAACAATGGACAATCATAAAAGAGGCATACAAATGTATTTATTTATTTATTACAAGTTCAAATAAAATGGCAACCAAAAGGACAGTCAAAAGGAATAAGTAGCTAAAAAAAACATCTAGATTATAAAGCGGTGTAGAAAACTAAAAACAGGAACATGTCTGCGTTGGTTCTTGCCAGGAACTTAACAGATGTTTGAAGCCACTTAGAGAGGTCAAGGTCAAGAGCTTCAGATCTTTTTACAAGATATTCCAGGAAACAGGAGCAGAGTAGGAGAAGACCCTTTTGCCTAGTTCAGTCCTCACTGAGGGAACACTGCAGGTAATAATGTCCTGAGAGCGCACGCTTTAGCTCCACTCACGCAGAGACATGTAGGAGGAGATGTATGAAGGCAACAGACCAAGAAGTGATTTAAAGATGAAAATGTACCAGTGGAAGAATCTGTGTGAAGTTAATGATGACCAGTTAACCAATGAATACAGGGTGCAGTGGTGGGTATGGTAATCACAGCCAGTTATGAATCTTAGTGTACGTGATAGACAACATCCAGCATCTGCAGAGAGCTTGCAGGAGCGTTTGTGTAGATAATGTCACCGTAGTCAATGGAGGGAAGGAAATTTGCAGTTATAATGTGTTTCTTAGCATTCAGAGTTAGACAGGATCTATTTCTGGAAAAGAAACTCAGTTTAACTTTCAGTTTCTTTACTAGGTTTTCTACGTGAAGCTTAAAATAGAGATGCGCGTCAACCAAGATACCCAAATATTTGTAGGAATCAACAAACTCAATAGGGACACCATTTGAGGATAAAATCAGAGAAAGAACTGCTAGGACCGACTTTCTGTTTGGAAAAAAAGCATCCTTTTGGTTTTATCAGCATTTAGGATGAGTTTGAGGTGGAACAAATCTGACTGGATGATGTCAAAGGTGGATTGCAAAAGCTGGAAAACCTTAGCAACTGTTTTAGCTTGACAATAAACAAATGCGTCCTCAGCATAGAAATGTAAGGATGGATCAGGGATCTGACCTAAATTACCTATGTAGATTGTAAAGAGGGTGGGTCCTAAAACTGAGCCTTGTGGTACACCATTGTTCACTGTTAAATAACTGGAGGAAATACCATTAAATACGTCACATTTTCTTTTGTTTTTCCATTAAAATGAACAACAGCTACAACTTTCCCTCATTTAACAAGGCTATTTGTGGAAAAAAAGGTTATATAGCAGTGAATCTAGACTTCTTTTTTGTTGAAGAGAATTAGAAAGTGGGCCATTGTTTATACATCAAGATTCAACACTTTAAATTAGATGCCAGCATTTTTTTTTTTTTCAATTTTATATGACATGAACTATTAATTCTACCTGTGTGTTTTAGGAGCTGAAGGGAAAGATGGAATCCCTGCAGCCTCTGATTCCTGTCCTTGAGCAGTACAAGACAGATGCCAAGCTCATCTCCGTGTTTAAAGAGGAGATCAGGAACCTGTCTGGGGTGTTAATGGGCATCCAGGAGGAGATGGGGGCCTACGACTATGACGAGCTGCAGCAAAAGGTCCTAAACCTGGAGAACAGACTCCACAGCTGCATGAATAAACTCAGTGAGTCTCACGTGTCTAATGTAAACTGATCAGTTAGATTATTTTAAATTCTGTTTTCTGCATTGGCATTTACCATTTGACAGTAAAAAGCTGTGATTATGTTACTCCACCCATTAAGGTTTAGCTTGCTTAAGATAATCAATTTGCCCTCACAGCTTTTGTTTAAAGGTTTGCAAAGCTGAAGCTTCAATTTTCCAGCTGCTTGTTCATGAGTCTGGACCATATCTACCAAAGAGTCAACATAAACAAGCAATATGCTGATGTCCCTGCTGAAAGATGTAAAATATGAATGTTTGTAGTTTTCGAGATGAGTGTTTTTCTGGACTGGACCTGAATGGGGAATTCAAGTAAACCTTAAAATATTTGGTCCAACATATACAAGTGGGTGCTACATTGTATATATGAATAGAAGTACAGTATTTGTTTTTTCTTGTTCACGGTGGCACAGAGTGACCAATCCTGATGAGTAGAGGGATCAATTTTATCCACCACCAGGTGCAGTGGTTGAGCTAGGTGGTGGCCAATGGTGGCCTTGGCCATAGATTAAGCCACCCCATAAGCCACCCCAGTCATTTGAGGAAATTATTTTTAAGCAATATAAAAACCAGAAAGCAAAGCTTCCTCAAGTGATACAGGTGGCCAGTTTACATAGTTATCCAGTAGTTAGACCAGTTTTTGAAAGGAACCTTTCTCACATCTAGATGCAGCCATACACCGAACAAGAAGTTGGTAATCTGCTTATTGTTCAGGTAATCTAGCTCACAGTGTTTACATTTACATTGTGGCAGCCACCTTGGATTTTAACATAGCACCCCGGTTTTTGATAAGAAATGTTCTTACATCTAGATGTGGCTGCTCGTGGCGACTATATTGGATTATGATGTGGCAAACCAATTTTCAAAAGGAACATTTCTTATGCCTATATGCAGTCACACACCAAAATGAAAGTCAGTACCTCACTTATTTTTCAAGTGAGCATGCTCACAGCGTTCACAGATGGAGGGTATTTTCAATTTACCCTTTTCGCTCCACGAGAGAGGACAATAACTAATTTGTGCATTCCAATAGAAAATGGTCAGGAAGCTGAAAAAGCTTGTGAGGATTTACAAAAAAATATGTTGAGCTAAACCTTTGCTTTGGTAAATAATTATTTCAACGTATAACACGTGCCTCACGTTCATTTGGCACAATTAGGCCTCCAGCAAGACGATTCGGTGTAAGAAATATTAAACTACAATGAATGAGACGCACTTGCATGATATTCTCCCCTTGTTTCTCTTCAACAGCAAAGAAAATGTGCAGTGATGGCAGCTTCAAGCTGTTGCACACAGGGTTTAAACTTGTAAATCTAAAATATTTCAACAGACTAACAGATAGATATGTATTCTCATCACGCTGTATAATTAGATTATGTATGATGAGAGCTGTGTGGTGTGTTTATAGCATGTGGCAAGCTGATGAAGATCACGGGACCACTGACAGTGAAGACTTCAGGGACCAGATTTGGAGCCTGGATGACAGATCCACTAGCTTCTCCTAAAAATAATCGGGTGAGCAGATAGAAATCCTCTTCTCCACTGAGTATTGTGATATTTCATATAAGTTCATCCACAACGTATTGTACTTTTATTTAAATGTACATGTTTATTCTTCATCAGATCTGTCCAACGTTAGTAAAATTGCAGATATAAAACAAATTGTCTTTACATATAAAGTGATACAGGATTTTTGCAAAGAATACACTTTTGCATAAGTTGCAATAATTAATTTTGATAGTTTAATGCTCACTAAATGGCTTATCATCAAAAACACAGATTAAGATTGTTTTTGTTCTTACAGTATTTCATATATTTTAAATGTAGATGGATACAATTAAGGTGTCCAATAAAATAGTACATTCAAAGTTTATTCATGTCCATGAAAAGAAAACAAAATCAACTTTAAAATAAAGTAGAATAAAATGCTTATAATTTGCAATAAATTTATTGTTATAAAAAGCTGATCTAAAACTGATTGTTTAAATAATATTGTGATTAAGTGATTTACACTTTTCACAAAGGATCATAGAATCAACCTGGAATGGTCAGTATAAACATAAAACATAATAAATGTGGCCTTTTTTAATTATTATTATTTGTTAGGTTATTATTGTGTTTGTTTATTTTTATATAATGCGCATCTAGTGATTAAATGTCTGGTCACCAGATTCCAACCATTTAACAAAGAAACTGAAAATATATTATCAGTGCAGCTTTTATTAAATTTTTACAGGTTTTAAGTGTTTTTTTTAATGATTTCTTACAAAATACATCTAAAGCTGGGCTTGTTGGTACTTTTTTGACACAAGATGCAGTATAGTGGAGTAAAACTCACTATCTTTCTATTTTCAGAAGTACCAGTATCCATTTCTTTGTGTTGCCTCAGCTGAGGTTCTAGTTAGCGGCGCTCGGATCAAACTGTGACAGGAAGACTGCAAACTGCTGACTCATTGCCTGTGGGAGAGAATAACAGCAGCTCTACAGTCAAACACACTGTCAGACTTCCTTATTTTTTAAAAAGTTGCACATAAATAACACAAATCACAAATATCTTTGTCAATATTTACATTTTGCATAGTGTTGTGTATCTAATGAATCCTTGAGCGTCTTTATTCCCTGGAATAGGTTGTCACACTGTCATTACTCATTACCTGCAATAACCCCTTTCTTTACCCTCCTCTTCACTTGTCAGTTACTTTACGTGAACTATCTGCTAAATTTATGCCGTTCAGCCAATTAGTTACAAGCACGAGGAGAGAAGTTGTTTATATGTGTTGCTAAAATTTCTCATGTGCTGCAGAATAAGCAGATGATTCCTGAGAGAGGTCCGTAGTGGAAAAGAAGGCAATGACAAGCCGAGAAGTGTATTTCATTGCAGCTTGTCTTGTGAAAATGACAGTAAAATTCCCGTCAGAGCAATGTTGAATGTAGGAGATGTTGCAAGGTCTTCAAGAAAACTGAGTGGTCACTGGTTCACAATAAACTGCTCTGCTCTGCCAATTTAATTCATTTTATGTATATAGCGCCAAGTCACAACAGAATTTATCTCAGGGCACTGAACAAATACATTCATTTGCATAAAAGTTCAGTTAGTAACGTTATTTATCTAAGGAAGCCAGCAGATTGTGTTGAGTCTTCATTTCGTTGCAGGTGTAGATGTTAGATTCTCTAAAATGCTTTTAGTACTTGACTCAACACTGACCTATAGAAAGAGTTCCTAGCTTGTTTATGTCTGACCACGGATCTGACAACTGTCTTGTTTGGAGAAATAAATAATAATAGTTGCATTTTATTTAGACCTGTCTAAAGCTTTTGATACTGTAGACCATGACATCTTATGCCATTAGCTATCAGATATTGGTTTCTTAGATCATACTATCGGTTGGTTTTCTTATTACCTCTTAGATCAGAGGCAATGTGTTCAACATATTGATACTTCTTCCAGCTATTTAACTGTCAATAATGGTGTACTACAAGGCTCAGTCTTAGGTCCCACCCGCTTCACAATCTACATAAATAATGTAGGTCAGATCATTCCTGATGCATCCTTACATTTCTATACCAATGACACAGTTGTTTATTGTCGAGCTAAAACAGTTGCTAAGGTTTTCCAGTTTTTATAGTCTGCATTCGAAATCATCCAGTCAGATTTGTTCTGTCTCAAACTGGTGCTAAATGCTGATAAAACTAAAGGGATGTTGTTTTCAAACAGGAAGTCTGTACCAGCAGCCCTCCCTTCTATCTTACCTACGAATGGTGTTCCTAATGAGTTTGTCGATTCTTACAAATACTTGTGAATCTTGGTCGATGCACATCTCTTTTTAAGCCTAATGTTGAAAACTTGGTAAAGAAACTGAAAGTAAAATTTGATTTATTTTTCTTCAGAAATAGATCCAGTCTAACTCTGAATGCTAGGTGCTCTGATGCTCTGAACGTTTTATGTTCATATCACCTTGTAAATGCTACTTTCCTTCCGTCCATTGACTATGGTGACATTATTTACATGAATGCTCCTGCAAGCACCCTGCAGATGTGATGCCAGGGTGCGTTAAGATTCATAACTGGCTGTAACTACCGTACTCATCATTACACTCTGTATTCATTGGTCAATTGGTCATTATTAACTTTACACAGGCTCTCACACTGGTATATTTTTATATTTAAATCACTTCTTGGTCTGTTGTCTTCATATATCTCCTTCTATATGTCACATCATCAGTGCAGCTACAGTGTGCATTCCCAAGACATCATTACCTGCAGTGTCCCATCAGTGCAGACCAACTTTGGCAAAAGGACCTTCCCTTACTCTGCTCCTGTAACCTAGAACACGTTACAAAAAGATCTGAAGCTCTCGACCTTGACCTCTCTAAGGGATTTTAATCAACTGTTAAGTTCAATGCAAAAATCAATACAGACATGTTCCTGTCTTTAGAATCTTACGCAGTTTTATAAGTAGCATGTTTTTATACCACTTCTTTTATATTTTTTTAATTTTATATGCTTTTATATTAATGTTATTGTTTTGTGTACCTCATTTGTGGTTTATATTTAAAACAGGTCTCTTTTGTAAATGAGTCCTTGAGACCCAATAAGACTAACCTGTATAAATAAAGGTTGAATGAATGAAATATAAACCTCACGTTGACAGGGACTGTCAGTAAAGTCCAGAAAGTGTTAGTCTCACTTAACTGTTAAAAAATGTGTAGTGATAGCAGAAACCTGAATCTCTGTGGTTTTTTGTATACGTTTGTCCCCAGGTTTGGTACATGGACAGCTATACCAACAACAAGATAGTCAAAGAGTACAAATCCATAGCTGACTTTGTGGCAGGAGTTGAATCCAGAACTTACAATCTGCCTTTCAAATGGGCCGGAACCAACCACGTGGTGTACAACGGCTCCTTGTACTACAATAAGATGCAGAGCAACATCATCGTTAGGTACAGCTTTGAGACAGGACGTGTGATAACGCAGAGGGCGCTGGAGTCGGCAGGTTTCCATAACGTGTACCCGTACACCTGGGGAGGGTTCTCAGACATCGACCTGATGGCAGATGAGCTGGGCCTGTGGGCTGTGTATGCCACCAACCAAAACGCGGGGAACATCGTCATCAGCAAGCTGAACCCAGACACGCTCCAAATCACCAACACGTGGAACACAGAGTACTCGAAGAGGAACGCCGGCGAGTCTTTCATGATCTGTGGAACTCTCTACATCACCAACTCTCACCTGACCGGTGCCAAGGTGTACTACGCCTACTCCACCAAAACGTCCACGTATGAATACACAGACATTCCCTTCCACAACCAGTACTTCCACATGTCCATGTTGGACTACAACGCCAGGGACCGTGCCCTTTATGGTTGGAACAATGGCCACCAGGTCCTGTTCAATGTTACACTTTTCCACATAATTAAAACTGAAGATGACTCTTAAAGGAGGAACACATTGTTCAAAACGAAAGGAAACATGGGAACGTCAAAGGTTGTGCCTAAACATTTAGATGCATTTATTTAATTTTAGTTATTCCATTTTAGTGTTACCTTTTTTGTTGTTTATCATTTATGTAAAGAAATCAGCTTACTTAATTTATTATTATAATTTAGGTGGTATACATGTGACTGGGAGTTTATTGTGTTAAAATAAGCAACAGCACAAAATGAACATTAGCTGAGAACATTCTGCAAACTCAGTTTGGTTTAAATGATGACGAAATAACTTTATAACGTCTTGACACCTGAAAGTTCACTATGAGTAATTTCCAAAGACCCCCCCCCCAAATAAAAGCTTTCTCAAAGATATACCATTCTTATTAAAAATGATTTTCTCCAGCAGTTTGTACATTTATTCATCCTCTCTAATTTATTCACACTTTGACTGCGTTCATTAATTGTTCTTTTTTAGTTTCCGTTCTTTTCTCGCCATTTAATTCATCACGATCACCTCGTTTAGTCGCGCTTTTCACTGCCTTAGCGTTCAATTTGTCTTTGTACTTTTTTTTTCATCGTTTCACAAGTTTTGCACTTGACCTTGTACAAGACAATGAGAAACATCGTGGATCATTATGCACCTGTACAGTTATTGCACCATGCCTTGTTGTGTCTGTGGAGATTCTTAGCCATAATGGGATATCTTGAGGTACCAAGTCAAAGTACTTAGCAAACACCAAAACCTGGCTGCCTTTGACTTCCTACTGTAAGATATGAGCTTTTTTTGTGATATAAGCGACAGTTTATATGACGTGTTCAGTGTCGTATGTTCTGAAGGCGCCAAACTTAACACCTCTCGTGCATGAATTTCGAATATCCGAAAGGTATTTTTACTGTATACATGTGCATTTTGAATTTGCACACCATCCCGTCCCACTCCCAAGCTACTCTTCTGATTTAATAAATATTTATTTGTGTAAATAAGATGTTATTAATCACCAAATAAAAGTATTGTTTTCATTAAGAGAGTGATCTTTATTGTTTTGGTTTGGTTAAAAATAAGTGCATTTGCCATATTTGTAACGTTTAATGGAATACCCATAGGATATGGGCTGAGAGAACAGACACCAAGGCTCATATGAATTAAAGTGTTTTATTTACAGTGGAATAATATTAATCTATATACAACAGGGGGACATGATCTGGGGAACGAGGACTGGAGTTAGGATGATGGAGATTAAGGAATGGTATGTAGTTTGTAGTTTTTGTCTTACAGGTTGTAGAAGGAGTAGGAGTGTCGAGAGGAGGGCGGAGGGTTCCAGTGGGTCCAGTCCAATGTAGGGGAGCACCGAAGGTGAGTAGAAGACAGTGGAACAGCTGAGGTAAGTCACAAAAAGATCTCAAGGATTCACAGAAGGTTCCAGGAACAGATGAATCACAGGAAGCAGATACTGAAATACCAAGAGGACACAAGGTAAGTACTTTCTACTTTCTAGTATAACACAAGGTGGCTGAAAGCACAAATACCAGTAGGCATGTAATGCTCCAGCAGGGAAGAGAGATCCTCTGCAGCCCTTGATGCTCCTGGAGCTCGTCAAGGAAAATGATCCACAGCTCTAACTTGTTGGCGCCATCTTGGAAACCAGGAAGCTGCAGAAGAAAACTAAAACACCTAAATATATTTTTGTACTGTGTACGTAATTGCCTGTGACAGTGCATGTGGGTGTTTGTCAGTCTGTCTGTTAGCAAAATATCTCGTTAACCACTAGGCAATTTTTAATAAAACTCTCAGAAAATAATCATTGGCTACATTTTTATGATGTCTCTGCAGTCAGCTGACATTAGCAAAAGCAAAAATGGCTCCAACTCAGTCATTTTCACAGATATTGAGCTAAAATTTGCTGTGATAGTAGCTTAGTATTGGATATAATGCATGCACTAAGTACTACTCACTGAACACTATCCTCACATAAAACTTTTCATTAGGTGTCAGCACTATTTGTCTGTTAGCCAAATTTCAAATGAACCACATGGCAGATTTTATTGAAACTCTGCAGAAATAATTAATGGATGTGCATCTTTAAGTGATTATCTTTTGGAGTCAACCTAATTTAAAATGGCTGCCACAGCTAAGTGATCTTATCTAACGCATAAATGGGTATCACTCAGTCAGTTTTATGGACGATGAGCTAAAATTTAATGTGGCATGAGAATATTTCACAACATATATTTTAAGTTCAATAGTTTGTACAAAAATCTTTGTTGCAAAGTTTACTATGCCTTCTTTCGAGGAATGGTAATTTAATTGATTCTCTTTTTAACTCTGTTTCTTGGTATTGAGTGTAAAAAGTTGAGCTCAGATGAACAGAAGTAGTTTTTTTTTTTTTTCTACCAAGTTTGAGATGTAATCTCAAGACTAACATTTAAAAACTGATAAACTAGTCGAGAGAATTAAAAAGTCAAAGACAAACGCCGAAGTTCAAAATTACAATTTTCTTATTTAATGAGCACCCCGTTCATAACAAACGTTTCAAATTGGAAAACAACTGAATAAGCTGCAATCAAAATTCATAAAGGAGGTAAGAAAAAATATATAATTCAAGATATGAGAAATTTTAATTGAAGTCAAATCAGACAAGCCGATGCTTTGATGAGATACAACACAATTACTTTCTGCCTATTCAGGAAGTTGTTTCTCCAGCGCAAACATAACTAATGTATGACGAGGCTGGCACCGTGAGATCTGGATATTAATTTTCTGACTGTAAATAGCATTCTGTGCACAGTGGAACCCAAGAACAGAAGGTAATTGTTCTGCAATCTCCCTCATTATTGTAAGGTTAATGAGGGAGATGTCTCGGTAGATTGTGCAACATTTGCTGGAAATTTCACGTAAAACAAATGAATAGTTTTTTTTATTATTACATAATCATAAAGTTAGAGGAAAACTTTCAATGAACTCATGTTACAGCTCAGATTCGTTCCCTGCATGAATATAGTGGGTGGACTTTTTCAGATAATGTGGCATAAAGGTAAAATTAAAACACGATATACACATTTGGAAACAATGCACTCATTTGTTTTGGTCGCAGTGAAACAACATGGACCTCACACAACCAAGTTCCAGACAAATAACTTGTAGAAGCGCTCTGTGTTAAATCGATAAGGTCGACCAGACTGGAATCATCTCAAAAGTAGAGGGACAGACTCAGCTTAGGAAGCACAGAATGTGCAGACCTAATGAGATATTGATGTCTTGATGCACGGCGTTACGCAACTTGAAGTGAACCAACTTGAAGTCTGAGTCAAGTTTAAATCAATATAGTACCAATAAAATACAGTATCAGATATTGTACCAAGCTCAAAGAACCTCAGCTCAAATTAACCCACTTACTTTTTATTAGTCTGCATTTACTTCTCTAATTTTTATGAAGCACATTTACTAGCATTACTTATTATTACCAACAGTGAAAGGGTCTCTGCAAAATATCTCATGAACCACAGCTCTGATTTTAATAAAACTTGGGAAGTAATCATTAAATGGACATCTACAACTTGTGACCTTAGAGTCCTCAAGGTTTAGGATGACTGCCGCAACTAAGTAAACTCAAAATGGCTATAGCTCAGTGAGTTTTACAGACACTGTGGTAAAATTTGGAGTGGTAGTACATGAGTCATTCACATAGTATATTCTGAAAGCTCACTGGTTGTACAAGATGTGTTTTTTAAAACGTTGTCATTAGCAGTTAGAGTTGACTGTGTCTGTAGCAAAACATCTCACAAACCACTGCACAGGTTTTAATGAAACTCTCACATAGTAATTAGTTATACTATATAACTGATTAACTTTTATAGTATACCGAATTCAACCAACTGGCCTTAGCAAACACAAAAATGGCTATAACTCTTCCAATTTTGTTAATATTAAGCTAAACTTTCGTGTTATAGTGACTAAAAATGGTCCCTAGCGCAGACTTTGAGCACTTCACGTTAAATATATTTTTGATTGAAATCTTTGCATTAAAAGTTGGAGTGAAACCTGCATGTCCGTAATGAAACCGTCAAAGTTATCGTTAGATTTATGTGAACAACTCATTGCTTTTTAGAGCCAGTTCGAGAGAGCTGCTAAAAGTAATTGACCTTTAGCAACACAGAAATGGTGACAACTCAGTAAATTGTACAGATTTAAGGCAACGTTTGATTTGGAGAGTCACTTATCACACATTCTCTGAGCTTACACATCTTACAAGATCTCACGGTTTCACATAAGATTGCATATAGCATCATTAATGTTTGGCCAAATCTGCTTTAAATCCCTTAAAATTTAAAATAAGATAGCTTTAATCTAAAATCCTGGCCTTAAAAGCAGCGGGTGATATGCATTCTTTCAAAAAAAAGCTATTGTTTGTGTTCACTTGTGTTTTTTGACTTTCCTATAATTGAGAGCGTTTTGTTTCATCTAGAGCTCGTACATCCCTCAGTAACAACTGCCGCACAGGTTTTTATTGTGGGCCCACAAACATATTTAACATTCATCTAACATATTTGATCCAGCCTTGTGTAACAACGTCCTGCTGAAAAACAACCAAGACTCTGAATTCCCACAACTTTGAACGCAGCGTGGTGCAGCTGTGCTGAGCCAAACCGCACAGCTGGCTGTCTTTATTTGAGTCAAAATCATTAAAAGACATCCTCAGCAAACTCAACTTTGAAAAATGAAACAACTGTTTATGATCACCTTTGACAAACTAGTGAGATAACTAAGTTTTTATAAAAGACACGCTTAAATTAAAATGAACAAAGAACTTTCACAAGACACTTAATAGAATTATGTAATGCTTTGGAGTTTGTTGTTCGGTTCATCTGCTGCTCTGTCTGCAGCTTCTGGACCCAATTTCAGGAGTTCTGGACTCCATGTGTTTGTGCAGCCGTGTCTCAGTAAACACAATACTGAGTTTTCAATAATCCAGATGTGTCTGTGCAAGTACCACATTCTCATCTGTTTTA